TTATCAAACACACTCCATAAAGAGCAAACTGGGCTATAAACCAGCTATACATCTACCTTAGAGTAAAAGTGACATCATACCTGTTGCTGTACTTTGATTTCTCACGTTCTTTGTCTTTCTTGTGGTCCTTGTGTCTGTGTTCTTTGTCCTTGTATTTATCTTTGTGTTTGTGAGAATCTGCCAACAAAGAAATTAAAGATTATGTAGCACATTCAAAAGGCCACGAACACCTGGCAACAAAAGTATGTCCCTGGAACAGGAAAGACAGATTCAAAAGCAAAAATGGGGGTTATAAAGTGTACAAGAGTTAAATCAAACAGACTTCTACATTGAAATTGTTCTGGTGCTATAGGTGTTCATAAAAACGAGGCAAAGGATAACCTAGTAACACTATGGGGGCTAAATTTCCTCACCTAAATGAGAAATCTGTTTGGTCAAATGCTGAAGACAATTCACAGACAACTGGTTTAAAATAAGTACAACATGACACATTCTGGCTTGTCCTTGCTGACCTACTGCAGACACATTAATCAAACCTTGTAGATTTTGGCACTTTACCTCTTGAGGTGAAGTGTCCAGTTTTCACTCTCAGCTATGTATGGTGTTTATAGACACGCCATTCTTTGCAGGGTTCAGCTAAGACTGTTTACTCTGAGAGGACTATTGCTTTAGGAAATGTGTAGGTTGGTAGCCTGGATTGGGTTACAAGAGAGCCAGGCATATCCTACTGACACTGTATCGGACAGTGAGAAAGCTGGAGGTGTTTTGTAACATGCTTCCCAAAAGGCAAAAGCAAAATCTCCCTTTCTATTGCGAGGACCAAAGGAAAGAACAGGAATTATACGAGGCTACAGAATCCAAACAAACTCAAATGCCATCCTTTAAGAGCACAGAGAAACAATGAACCTCATGTTACATTAGGGTGCATTCAAGCATTAAGAGGGACAGGAGTGCTCAGTTAGGACGTGAAATCAAATCCTTTATCTTCTACAGTACGCATGAGTGCTTTACCAAATGTAACAAACCTTCCTCTACCTCTAGATATGCATCCTTACTTGAACTCCTGTTCAGCAATATTATTTATTGCTAAGTGTGGTGTTACATTTTAGCCTTGTGAAACATGTTATTAATTACATGTAAAAAAAAAAAAAAAAACACTCACTATGGGCAAACCATTCACCATGTCCATTTTGCCCTTCAGCAAAACATGCACATCTGGGACTGTTGGAGAACTTATCTGTGAATTGTACCCTCTAGTGGACAAGTTCATTGTCAGCAGAACTGTGAAGCTTCATTACAAAAAGCAAATCCACAGTAATGGAAGTCTGAAATAAGCCTTTTGACTAAAATGAATGCATTGAGCTAACCAAACAAAGGAAACGCAAAAGAAAAGCTTCATATACTAAAATTACTGGCAAATGGACAATTAGATTTAGTGCATGCTATGCCAATGCAAAAACAGTCCATAGATATATTTAAGATTGAGGAGTCAAAACACATTCCTTATGTGTGATTTCAAAAAGTTGCCAGTATGATAACAGATATATATAACATTGTTTATGGTAGGCTACAACTCATGCAAGCAAATGTAGTTATGGGCACACACACAATTTGAAAGAAAAAAAAAAGCAAATTTCTACACATTGTGTCACTGTTTTATTAAATATATAATCTCATTTTATTGTTTCCAGGGATGTGCATGGCTTTTTAATATATCCCCAAACCCTGACAAGCACTTGGTGGATGCTCAATGGAACGGCATGGTGTAAACAGGCAACTCGTGCAGCGGCACAGCCATCAGTTAAACATCCTAAATGCTCTTATAGTGGGGAGCAAAACTGATTACCAGAAGCATCAAGCACATTTAGAGTATGGACTGTGTGGATTTTCAGTGTAGCATGAAAAAAATTCAAAAAGCATTTATTTGAGATGAGTTGCAGAAAATGAATTTAAAAAAAAACAAAGGATAAAATGCTGTGGCAGAAATCCTTTACCCACCCACATTGTTGTAACTAACTAACTTGTTTTTTATTCAGATTGAAACTTGAATTTTATTTTGAATTATACTACCAACATCACTGCACTTATAATAAGCAGTGAAGGAAATGTTACTGATGGCCTGTAAAATAAAGTGCATAAGAAACCTGATTATCATTACGCGTTTGTGTCAGAAATATGAAAATATATATATATTTTTAAAAAAAATTCATATTCCTGACACAAACACATAACGATAATCATTTTTGTCATAAAGAAACACTTGTTGACACACTTATAATGCATTTGCATAACACAAAAAGAAACAAGTGTCTGGTGTCTAAGTGCTGTGGGATTTCCTGCCATGACATGCTAAAAAGTTTTAAACTGCATAGAAATAGGAAATACTCTCATTAGTAGCTTATCTTTGAGGTAAAAAAAAAACTACAATAAAAGCAGTGAGTTTAGTAATATTTCTGGCTGGCCATGTTTTGAACTTGCATGATCAAACTAATATCACCAATGACAGTTGTTTGAAATCAGGTTTAGCTACAAAAAAAATCCTATAGCACTGGCTCGTTTAAATTCACTTAATCTGGTTGTGGCTGTTCATTTGACGCAGATTAGATTACAGGATAGCATCAGTTTTATGATATTAATTAACTGCATAATTACAGTTTATGTTTTAATAGTAACGTTAAACGTCCATTTTTCATTAAATTTCATCGAATAAAAGTGTAGTTGAGGTATGTGTTTATTTTCGTGCGAAGATTCAAAACAGATAACGCGTTTCTCAAACCTTCTCCTCTATAATAACCTCGATGTGCACTTAACGTTCACTACATTCAGACCGCTAACGTTAGACAGAGAAAAAGAAAATGGCGCAGAGACTAAGTCCTCAACCCCCAAACCCTCACTTTCACAAGCCCCGTTTGACCATTTTGCTAACTCGAAATACGATCAAGCTACATTAACTGACAAAAAAACTCTCTCTCTTTCAAAATCGATGTTTTTTGTTTATTTAAAAGCAGTATAAATGGGATTTAGAAGGGCTCAATGTGAACAATAGGCGCTTGTCAGAGAGCGAGAGGGGACTTAGTCTCTGGGACGCCATTTCTGTCCTTAAAACTAACTGGTCGTCAGGCAAGCTGCTGAGCGATCACGTTAAATGTATAAAACGTATGTGTTTTATCATAATGTGCTGATTAGACAAGTCCCACTCACCATTATATCTGGATCCCGACTCGATCTGCGGAAAAACAGTGGTGTATAAGTTAATGTTAAACCGTGCCATGTCAATAGGCTGCTAACTTTCAACTTGATGCTAATCGGAGTTAGCGCTCAAGCTAACAAGCTTGTTCATAAAACAGCGTTTAAACACCACCGCTGCGGAGGCCGGGGGACTGTTTAAAGTTTTTATTCCCAAAATAAAGCATTTGTTAGTATACGTTAATGTACGATAAGCGGCAAAGGACAGCAAGGGCTGAAAATACAAAATTATTACATTCAAAGCCGACTTCTGGTGCCTGTTAGCTTAGCATGCTTGGGGAAAACTGCCGCTGCGGATGGAATTTAAACAGCCGAGCTAGTGACTACAAACCATCAAGATAGAAAAAAAATAACGCTAACTGACAACGTTAAATCACACTTTACCTGAGAATCGTTGTGGGAATGGTCCCCACTCATTTCTATGTGTCTTATTTTAAAATAACACAGTTAAAAGCCTGTTAAAATAAAATGCCGGCGAGGAGCTGTAGGCAGAATGAAGAAAGACACAGTTGTGTAACAGACCAAGCCCGAAAATTACAGGACTGCGCATGTCAGACGCATTTAAATGGATAAAAAAGGCGTTATTCCTGCCCCTGGCTCCTCCCATACAGCTCCGCTATGTGACGTCACTCCTCATTTACTATGGTGGTAAGAGCCACGTGGTACCAACTATGGGTACCAAGTGAAGAGAGGCTTGTTAAAACAATTTTTATTATCAATAATAATAATTGTAATGATAATAATAATAATAAACAATACATTTTTAACATTTGATTAACAAAATACTAGCTAAAAGCCTTCTCTGATGGAATGAAGGTGACTGTTATATGGCTATCTATTATACTTTTATACTCAAGATTCTAGAAAATTAGTAATGAGGCATCAAGAAACCTTTGGCACATGATTGTTATTGGTTTAACAAGTTCAATCATCAGCCTCGACATTACTTGCAGTTCTTACATTTAACACAGTTAATAGTTCTTACATTTAACACAGTTAGTTCTTGCAGTTAACACATCCACAATGACTTTATAATGTTCTTAGATTTTTTTTTTTTTTTTTGTCATTTGAATAAATCAGTTATGTAAGAAGTATTTGTTTGAAATGACTCTCTTATTGTTGAGTGGCATTGTGTGTGTGCTCACTAAAAAGTAGATGCCTTGCTTCTAAATGACCACATTTATCTTAAACCAGCAGTAAGCCTTTATCTTTGTCCAGACAACAGATGTAGGCGAAGACATTCACAACCATGTCTTATTTATGATCTTTGTGAGGCTACTGTCATTATAAATGTACGCAATACCTTAAATATGATAGCTTTCACCATTAACTAGCCTACTTAAAGAACAATTTAAGGTGGCCTTAGGCTACTTAACCAATTTATACAACATGCTTATTATGTATGCATGTTGTTGCATGGTAAATATTTAAAGTATGTGTATGTAATTAATATTTGTAATAACCCTAACATCAAAATCAGTAGCAGTAAATGTGAAAATTTTACAAAACAACATGTAGCCTACATTGTGAACACATAGTCGTGCGGTGCAGGTATTAATGTTAATACATAGCAGTTAAGGCCACTTAATATACAGTGTGACTGGATTCTGCAACAACTGGGCCTAAAAACAAACTGTTGTTTGTACATTGGTTTTTATTTCTTTTTTTTTTGTTTAAAACTTAAACTTACTGCTGTGCATATCTACACTACACTCACAAATGAATGACGAATCAATATAATAATATTTCCTGGTTTGTTTCAGAAACAATATTTTAATGTATACAATAATATAATGTAATGTAACATAATCAAAAGTTCGTTTCAGTTGTTTGGCAAATCAATTCAAAAGAACGATTCGTAAAGAATCAGACGTCACAGTTTAGATTAGAACGTGCTAAAGTCTTTGTAAACATTGTTATCGGACTCAATGCTGGTGTTTCCATTAGAGGGCGTCATTGCCCATAATTCTATTCAGCTACGCCTTACATTATATCCCACCAATACTCATAATTCTCCCAGATATTATAAATTACTAATATTTTCTACTTCATTTTTTTAGGTAATTTGCTTCTGTAACCTATACTTGTAAACAATAAAGCGTAAAATATACAAAAATGAAACAAAGAGTAAAAGTTAAGAAAGTTAAACTCTGCATAACATAATATCTACTATGGATAAAATGAATACAGACATGTGGAATTGGTACAACAATGTTTTAATGCAAATATAAACATCCTACAACTTTAATAATTTTCAATAAAAATAGAATATGTTAATAAAGTACAAATTATCTAAAGAATAAACCAAATAAAAAATGACACTGAACCATGACATCCTGGAACTATTTGTCATATTAAATCAAATTATATTGCTGATTGTTCAAATGCATATCTCTGCCCGATAAACCGTCTTATGTACAGCTGGGAGCCCTTTTATATACAAATAAACTTCCATTATAAATCTCAAGAACATTTTTATAAAGTACATAGCAAAGCAACTCTCATGATGCAATGACACAATAGATATATTAAGACACAGTAGTTCAAAGATATCACAAATGTGTTGTTCTCTGATACAGACACATGTATGAATCACACAGCAGTCTGCTCACCAGCTCACTGCACTGACTCAGATCTGCTGTGGAGATCTCCTCTTCAGACTGGGAAAGGAAGTCTCCAACCTCAGGGCAGGACCTGATCACGGGAATGTTGTAGCCATTGTTATCATCACCTAAGGATAAAAATGAAATAGTCAGGAATTAACAAAATTCCAGCACCAATTTCAGCATCTGATCACTAATAGAGGGCTTGGGAAACCTCAGTGAATTGATCCAGTGCAAACAACAAATAGAGAGATTACAGCTGTGTCAGAAATCTTATGCAGCTGACTTTTTGCCTCAGCCTAACCAGGCAATGACTTTGCAGGTAGCATTTGTGCATGAAGGTACCTCACGAAACTCATTTCAGACAGACTTCTGAGGCAGCATAACGGTTTAATGATGTACAACAAAGGCCTTATTTAATTAGTACAATATTAATTTCTCACTAGAAGTAGAAATGACTTCAAAAGGTGGAAAAAGTTGGTCCAAAATGTACATTTACACACAAACTGATCACAAAAATCAACTTGCAGATGCCATATTTATTTTTTGGAAGTGGCTAGATAGCCAAATATAGCGATACATGCCATTTACACCAATTGTAAATAGCAAAAAAAAAAAGTGAAAAGCAGCATTTTCTGTGCACTATGTGTAAATAGTAGTTTGATTCTAATTGTACTAAGTGTAAATAGTTGTTAGATGCTGTTTATACTTGTGGCAGATACTATTGCACCTCAGTGTATTGTAGTATATTATAAAACAGTTATAATAACAACATATTTAAAATATATGATCATTTAAATGAAAGCTGCCTCATTGGGACATTACTATCCCTATAGCCCTACACCTAACCCTACCCGCAAAACACTTTATTCCCACTATTAAATGCAGGTTAGGCACTTTATTTAACTTTTGGAATATTTACTTATTTTTTATTTAAAATAAACACCTCTCTGAGCTGTTATGCAATGGGAAACTCGAGCTAATGCCACCGGCCTTACTCTCCACGCACTGATCATGTTATGCAGCGGGTTTTATTTTGTCATTTTGCCTGGCTCAATCAGACAGTGGTGGGAGGAGTTAGTGTAAATAGCCTCTGCCATTTGCACTTGGTGTAAATAGACACCATGTTGCCTTCCTACTTTCGTATGTTGCCTGTGGAGGCAGTTTTTTTCAGCTTCGAACGCAGCTTACATTTGAATATGTTGGACATCTAGCATATATGACCTACCGCATCGGTCAGCCATGCTGTCAAAAAAGATCCATGAGCGTGAGTCAGCCCCATATTTGACAAAAGACACATAATGGCTGGTGTTTATACAGAGAACTGCAAAGAGTTGCATCTGGTGCCTCTGTATTGAAGCATCTTCTGGAAGATGATCTGGAACTGTAAGTTTGTGAGGAGTGTGTTCCTGTCGGGAGGTATGAGTGTGAACCTGAAGAAAAAGCAAATAAATTTGGTAGTGTTTATGGGAGAAGGCATGTGGATAAAAAAACATGTAAAATGCATTATATCACTGAACGGTTGGAATACAAAGTACATAAATACGATTTTAGAATTAGGTTCACTACCTGTGTGTTACAGGTAGAGCAATACTGCTTAATTTTGCCTGGCTGGAGCTTATGGTCCATCAGGCACTGGCCACACTCATATTCAGCTAGATGACCACACACAAAACACTCCCGAGGAGCTGCCAGAGAAAACAGGAGAAGCATGAGAGATATTGAATCTGCAACAGTCCAATATCTGCTTCCACTAAACAAATATGATCAGGAGGAGATTTCATTTGGAAGTATGTTTGTTAAACTCACAACAATGTAAGACATCTGTGATGTCCAGCTCCGTTGAGGGAATGATTTTAGGGAACATCTTGAACTTCTTACCAAATCGTGGCATCTGAACTATAAGGCAAGATGGAATCTAAAATAAAAAAGTTTTGATTAATAATGCATACTAGGTAGTTGGCAAAAATGGGGTATGCAAACTGTAATATAATAATCATCTAATTTACAGTAGAGTCTGAGAAATGAACAAACCTCTCCAAACTTCAGATCACTTGATACTAAAGACATCTCAAGCAGCTGTTGAACTGAAGGCACGGCTCCCATCTGATTCTTCTCTACAATGATCTGATGCGTATAGGCATCCTGTGACAACTCTCCACGTGACCTAAAACAACACACAAGTGTTAAGATATACAGTTCAAGCTTTTTTACACAGAATGTACACTACCTTTAAAAAGAGATTGGTCAGTGAAATTAGTTTTTGAAAGTCAGTTAATCTTACCAAGTCTGCATTTATTTGATCAAAAATACAGTAAAAATGCTATATTGTGATATATTATTATTATAATTCAAATATTTCTGTAAAATTTTCAGCATAATTACTTAATCAATCCTTCAATATGCTGATTTGCTGCTCAATAAACATTTATTTTTTGTAAGGGAATATCTGTCTCTGTCTGTTTTTTTTTGTTTATTTGCACGTTTCCAGTGTTTTAGTTGGTTTCTATGGTTTCTTATTGATTTCATTCTCATGTGAACCTGTGTCTCATTTCTTTGATTTAGTTTGCTTGTGTATTTAAACCCTGAGTTCGTTCTGTCTGATCTCGTCCGTGTATAATAATTGTTCTGTTTGTATTTTGATATTCCTGCGTATTCTGAGTGTTTTGTTTAAGAAAAGAATTATTAGCAATGTTGAAAACAGTTTAATATTATTGTGGATAAAAGCTCAAAATAACAGCATTTATTTTCAAATAGACACCTTTTGTAACATTACAAATGTATTTCCACTTTGATCAATTTTATGCATCCTTGTTGAATAAAAATATTAATTTCTTTTAAAAACTGACTGACCCCAAACTTTTGAACCATAGTGTATATATGCATATTACATTCAAAAACATAAATAAATAAAACATGATATAATTGAATATAATAAAAGTATAATAATATAATATTGTGTTTTAATAAATACATATTAAAAATACTTTTTAACCTGTTTGCAAAACATATTCATTCAAGGGTTGTGTAATGTAAAAACTCAGCCATGTTTCTCAGATAAACAAATCTAGAGTGATCAACTGAGTGAGTGCAACTGAAACAAACCTGATTTTGAGCAATGGCTCTATGTGTAAAACATGCTTTAATAGAAGGGTGATGAACTCCTCTGGATCTGAAGGATAGCCGTAACAATATTTTATTTAGTATCAGAGTCACGTTCTCTCTAAGCCATAGATGAAAAACTTGCAGCTCTACATCAAAAAAGTAAATGAGCGCTATGGGACAAGTAATACCTTTCTCATCTGTAGCAAAAGATTTGCAGCCCAACTGTTTACGAAACTTCATCACACTATCTGCTGGAACAAAGCCCGATCTGTCGAGGGAAGCAGAGGTCATATGAAATGAACTGTGAGTACCCTGATGACTATAAACACATGCCCATGTGAGCATGAGTGTTAACTCAAGCTCTACAATTATGGCTGTGCATTAGCTTTGTGATGTGACTTTGTTATGTATTATCACACTATAATACATCAAGGGATTTGGGAGATCTTACCTGCGTAAACGGTTCACAATGTCCCGTCTTAAAATGTGTGAAATGCCTTCCTCGCTATCGGCTGATCTGTTAAACATTCTGCTGAAAGCTATGGATGACGTGAAGAGACTGTAAAAAAATGAATCAGCACATGCAAACAAAAAGAACGAAATGTGAAATAACAGACATAACATGCCTTTCTTAAGAGGCTTACCTAAAGAGAGTGGCATCTAAATAGCAAGAGTTAAAGTGACCTTGGATCCCCCTCATTCTGCCCACCAGATGAGACAAAACATCTTGCTCAGCAACAGGGGGAACATCTTCATCCAAATCTTCCAGGAGTGTGACTAAGAGGGTAAAAAAGGTACTTAAAAAAAAAAAAAATTCTTGAGGCCTTTAACATTCCTCTGTTTCTAGAAGTGGAATAATTTAGGCCTCACCTGAGGGAGGTTCAAGTGGTTTCTGGATCTCATTTGAAATGAACAGAAATCTACTGTCTGGTTTGCAGTTGGTCAATGGCACAAACAAGGCTTTGTTTCCTTCACAGGTAAAATACCGTATTGTACCAAGCGTCCCATCCGAACAAGTCGTCACTTCATTGTCCTGAAAGGAATTGAGAGATTTTTTTATATCATTTGCATGCACAAAACACAACATAATCAGCATTTGCTCTGTACTACTGAGAGAAAAAATGTAGATGCTCACCAGTTCAAGTCCTGCCCAGTAATTTTTCTTTCCATCTGGAACTCCAATCCATCTTATCACCCCATATACAGTCAGTCCATTCAAAGATATGACCTCTGCCATGGACCCTACCTCCAAAGAATAATGGGACATGGCCTGAATGGAGTTGGACACATTCTTGTTGGAGAAGGTACTTCCTTTTTTTGCATTGCGGAAGTTAAGAGCTGGCATGGAATATATGCGAGACACTGCTTTGCTGTTCAAACCTAAAAAGGTAAAGGCATGTAAATCATACTATGACAGATTGATATCATCACCTGACATTCCTCAAGTCTTGATATAAAGTGTTATATAAATATGTACTGACGGAACATAGTCTGTCCAGTTTAAGATGGCAATCTTTTCCACAGCCTAGTCATAGGATCTCTCTGTTTATCTACAAAAGTACCCAATCCATTATCCTAGATACTTTCGATATGTTTTAAGGGCTAAACAGATGAGTGACTGACCCAAATCACTGCTGATTCTCAGTGGTTGTCTGGTGTTTGAATGTGATGGAACCACTTGGACAATGTCGGCTGCACTGAAGAAGGGAAGAGGGACAGTCTTCTTCAACAAAATATCCTCCTCACCCTCCTGTGAAAAAATTCAAATGCATGTCTGTCAACAGATCCAAGTGGATTCTTTACGCCATTAACGTGACTATATGCATTTCAAGTATTTCATCTATGTGATCAAAAGGTCGACACTTACAATGCATGGGGTTTTTTTTTTGTGTTTTTTTTTTTGTTTTTTTTTTGCATTATGTACAGAACAAGACAGGGAACAAATAAAACTGCAAGACACTTCCATTTAGATCAATACAGAGTATGGATTTAGGGCGAGAAAAAAATACAATGCATGTTTAGATTATGTAATGTTACAGTTATGTCACCTTGATTCAGATTCTGATAAGGGATTTTCCCAAGAAAGTAAAACTACAGACAAACATTTCCTCTTTATGTATGTAGCCTACAATAATCAAATATTTTATTTAAAACAATTTAGGTAAATAGTCTATTTCAATATTTTAGCTTATTTCTTTGCATGAATTAATATCCTCACCATTAAGCTCAGCTCAAATCCCAGCATTTGCAAGACTCCTGGTTTGTCCTTGCCTACTTGAACCAGATTCTTGACCAGGCATGGTTGAAAATCCTTCTTGTGTTTGACCACAACAAGATCATCCTGAGTAAGGTCACAGACTGCACTGAAGAGCTGGACGTTGCACATGAGCTCCAGTCTCCTGCTGGCAGGAGAAACGAACAAAAGTAGCTGAGCTTGATGGCGTGAGAGAGGGTATGTGTCGTCTTTCTTCACCGAACCACTGCTCCTGGTAATGCCACCTCCGCCATAAACCATTCCTATGAGATCTCCAGCGGCTGTCTCAGCATCCGCGCGCAAAATTGACCCGCGAGATAAGCCCTTCTTGCTTCTCCTCACTACAATAAAGTAGCGCTCCTGTCGTTCCGTGTCCACCTCCATGTTAAATGAAGAGTGTTTGTTCAGCAGTAACTTTATCAAGACAGAGACGAGTCAGTTATCTAGTCGTGATGTCATACATTTTTTTGCTGACATGTGACTAAAGATGTCCATCTGTGTCAACCAGGAAATCGTATGCATTGGTTTATTAATATAGGTAATATTGATTCATAAGATTAGTCAGAGTTGTTTTAAAATAATCAACACGGATAAAGTGTTCTAATAACAAATATACAAAAACGATTATTAATGAATGATTTAAATCTGGTTTGGCACAAACATCATAAAACATGATTAATATGAAAATTAATGATAATGATAATAAGACAATAAAAAGCACAATATAAATTTTGTAAATAACAACATACAACAAATTAAATAGCCTAATAACAATGTTATAGGCTATGGTATTTAGCCTATATGCAATGTTGTTTCCCAATGTAAAGACTGCAGATTTCTTTCATATGTCGTTCACTTAAAATAAATATGTTAAAAGAATTTATTCTAACAATATATAAAAAGTAAGTTACTTTACCTGAGAACACGGTTGTTGTTGTTTCTCTCTTTTTTTGGTTAATGGACAGTGGTGTGACGATGTCATTGTTAGTGCCATTCTGTAGAGACCCACTACCAGACTTGATAAACGAGTAAAATGCATGTACATCTCTGAGAAGAGATGAGAAGATATAGAAAACAAAACAATGTGACAAATGTCACTCACAAAGAGATTGCATTATCACAACCAAGTAAATAATTATAAAATCTATAGCATTTTAAAGTGTTCTAATAGCCTACTAATTTGCCTTGTTGTGTAACTCAACTAGGTTACAATAAAATGGTAGCAATTCTCAAGAACAATACATACATCTGTACATGAAGTACAATACTTACTTAAAATTTTGGGTATAAGCGTCTTTTTGGGATAGTTTTAGAGAGTCCGGGAGCTTTCTGTCCCTCCATTGAAAATGTATGTATTGTACGGTATACTGTCCTTGTCCAGAAAGCAAATAAAGACATCATCAAAGTAGTCCATGTGACATCAGTGGGTTAGTTAGAATGTTTTGAGGCATCAAAAATAATTTTTGGTCCAAAAATAACAAGAACTGTGACTTTATTCAGCATTGTATTCTCTTCCGGTTCTAGTCGTAGTTTTTGGACCAAAATGTATTTCCGTTGCTTCAAATCGTTCTTATTAACCCACTGATGTCACATGGACTACTTTGATGATGTCTTTATTTCCTTTCTGGACCAGGACAGTATATCGTACACATTTTCGATGGAGGGACAGAAAAGTTTTGGACTAAATCTAAAATATCTGCGTTCCAAAGATAAACGGAGGTCTTACGGGCTTGGGATGATGTGAGGGTGAGTCATTAATGACATAATTTAATTTTCATTTTTGGGTGAACTAACCCATTAAATTAAAGACAATTAAAAAGAAAATACACCTTCACATCTTGTAGACATGTGACATGACATGCTTTTGTATTCATCATGCACTCTGAAAGCACCTGACCTCGAATGTTTGAACACTAACTTGATGAACTTGTTTTATAACTTGTTCTTTTCACTGTCAAAAACTTTCTATCAGACATTTTAAAGGGTAAGAAGTCAGCGACTATAGTTCAGTTCACTATGCAAGGAGATATGAGATAGACCTGAATGCCCCGTCTATACCTCTGTGTCCAAATAAAAAAACCCGGTATATGTCTTAATTTAACTGAAAATAAAAGAAACCATATAGAAGTGTTCATGGGGAAATATCTTTTAAACTGCCCAAAAAGGAGGCTAAATAAATAAAGGAATAATAATCTTAACTCATTGCATATGCATGCAAATTACAGTTCTGCAAACCCCACACATTTTCCATGAACCAATGCATTATTAATTTTATAAATCTGCAGACATGTTTCAGCAAAAACCTGCCTACTTATATAAAGAACCCTTTTGAACTCTTGAGTTAACACGAGACATCTGAAGTCATGCATTTCATCACCTGCTTTATGCTCTATGATCACTTCCTGACAGAAAAACTGCAGGGACAATTCACCCGATAAAAAACTCAAATACCTACAGGCACCACATAGCTGAAATAAGTTGACATTTATCTGGCTGCCCATCAGATCACATGATGTCTATGAAGATGTTCACTAAACATGCCTGATAGAATGAAATGTTTTGACAGATTTTATGTAACTGGTAAAGACTACCTTTAAATACTTTCCCTATTAATAGAATAAGACTTGCACTTTATTAGTACAAGATAAACATTATGAAACAATAAGCAACATGTGCTGCTTCGGAATTGTTGACACAACAATGATTTTGTGTGTAGATGGCAAAAAATGTCCAGCTTCAAGTAAATAGTTGATACCCTTGCAATACCATCTTGGTCTGCTACACATTTGATTATGTATTGGATGCACTAAAATGACCCGTTCACATGACAGCAGCATTCTGGGAAATCTGTGATGTTTATGCTGCAGGGCTATGATGTCCTTGCCGAGAAACAAAGAAACAAAACAGAGCAACCAATAAAATGCAAACTTTATTCTCTACTCTAATTGAAAATAAATTGGGAAAAACAAGAGAAATAACAAAGTATTCCACATCCAGCAAACCACTCAGCACGAGTTGCTAAATTCATGTGGAAACACGAAAAATATCAAACAGTCAAAGTATCTTGTAGCTCTAAAAGAATGTAAATAATTTATTTTACTAAGAGCATAAATCATATCAAATATCCAGTTCAAATAGCTGATAATGTCACTTGCTAAACTAGAAGAACTAAATGCCATTAATAAACCTGAATGTTAATATTTATATTATATTGTCGAACTAAAAACGTATAACATTGTCAATAGGATGAATTTTACAATAGGGAAAGAACATAATTCATGTTTTTGTAATACGCTCTGGAAGACAGCCATGCCTTAGATTTAGACATGTCATTTTGACCCATGTTTTGACCACAGAAAATTGGAAAACGGCGCCCCCTGACCAAACTAGGCGAACCCAGGCGCCCCCTCGTGGTTGCTATAGTGCACTGCATGACAATAACGCTTTCGGCACAGTATATTATTTATTATAAATAAATGTTAATGAGGTAAACTGGCTGAAATGGATTACCATTGATACCCCATTGCTTTATTGTCTTCACCACAATTAAGGGATTTCACTACATGATCTATATGAGTTATATAATGTTACAATGAAAGAAGACATGATAATTCAAAAGTCCTTCACTTAATTTTATTGCTGCATGACAGTCTAGTACACTAGAATGTGTAAACAGATTTTCCGATGGCCAACATAATTTTTGCTGCAACTGGGATTATTAAATCCTACATTATAAATAACAAAATAAAAATGATTCAAACATTCTCATATCAAGCTTTTATTTTGCACCAAGGTACTTGCATGTGCTTGCGTGCTTGTTGACTTTCTCCGCATCTTAGTAATTAAAGTTGCGACGGCCAGGCTGGTGGAGCATCACACGGTGTATGCGAGAGTAATGTTGAGGAACGCGTTGACGAATGTGGTTCTGGCGCTGAATGCAATTACGGCTGAGATTGTGGCGGTTGGCCCGGGCCTGAGCCCGCTGTATCCGGCCCACCTGTGTGGCTTTGACCAGAGCACCGGACTGAGAGACCAGCCGCTGAGATAATCGAACACTGCCTCGAGAAGCAGGGACTTCCTGATCTACGATGCTTTAGAAGGAGAGCACAACACCATTTCAAGTCAATTCAATACTGATCAATGTCAACGCAATCTCACAGTAGAAATAGTTATAATGATTGCAATCTCTGAGCAGATGTATTGGTTTTACCTTGCATCACTGACTGAGTTGGCAGCAGATTTCTCAGTGCTGGACAGGGTTCTTATTAACTTGAACTGCACCTCACTGGGTTCAGAGGATGTCTCTCCATCTACAAAAAAAGAAAATACAGTTACCACAGAAAGTTGTATCTTAACCCTGTAAAGCCTGATAAATAATTGTCAGATCTTTAAAAAAAATATATAAAAAAATATAACAGATTAATGAACCTTTAGACAAAATAACAAAATTTGAGTGGGAAAAAAACCTCAAGTTTATTCAGAGCCCCAAACTCAGCACAAATATTTAATTTGTTGCAGGTGCTGATATTCATATAACCAAAAAGTATGACGAAATCAAATAAACCTATGTTGAATTCAATTCAGTAAGTGTTCATCTTGAAATATTACCAGGAATAGAAAAGCTATTCTTATATTTACACAGTAAAAAACAACATGTGAACCACAACCTGAAAGGGAATTTTTTTAATTATACTGCAAGACTATCCTTTAGTCTCAAATCTAGTTTATTTAAGCCCTTTCCACAACAAACTAGACCAACTGACTGTGCAAGAGTTAAAAGCCATAGAAAACAAATGTGTTTTCAATCAAGATTTAAAAGTGTCAACTGAGGGTGCAGATCTGATGTCAGGTGGTTTCACGGTCTTGGGCCGGCAACAGAAAAAGCCCTGATCCCCTTTAGTTTCAAAGGGAGTTTTAGGAATTACGAGAAGTAAACAATTAAGTGATCGTTGAGGTCTACATGAATTAGTTATAATATAAGATTAGTTTATTAAAGTACTAATAATATATTCTAGGGCCAAATCATGGACAGCTTTATAAACGTAGAGTAACACAGTATAATGAATCTGATATATAACCGGTAGCCAGTGCGGCTTTACCAAAACTGGGGTAATATGCTCCCTTTTCTTAGTACAACACAAGTATATTGTGTACAACAGGGATTTCAGTACAGTTTCCATAAAGTTTCCATAATATTCCATAATGTCCTTGAATTAAATGCACTAGGACGTTCCTGAATATGTTTACATTTGTGTCTCGGTACTCACCAGCTGCATTGACCATGAGCCAGCCCTCCTCGTCCACTTCCGGAGACCCTGGTTTTGGTACAGTTGGTTCATTCACGCTTCCAAAGAGCAGGTTTGTGAGCCGTTGAAACATGGTCATAAATTTCACGTGATTGTACTTAATAATAGATGGTGAACTGGATTGCCTTGTACACGGGTCTCTCTGGCAGATGTTACGAGCAGATCTCAGCAGAATGACTTCAGCCAGACCTTTGGTAAAGGAAACATGTGACTATAAATTTAAACACTCTGTTTTGAATTATATCAATCAAGGCCTGCTTAGAAACCACACATGACAGGATCAGGCTACGAGCTATTTTAAACTCAGAACTAATTTTGAGGTCAAGTTTCATTTTGAAATCAGAGCGTCTTTTTTTTACCGGCCTGGCATAAATGCTTTTCCCATCCATGCACACTTAGAAAGTCAAAACATTCAGGGAACATTGTCACCAGTTTAGTTATTAAAGACATTTTGGCACAAAGACATTATCTAAATGTGAGTGCCATTTCTATGTAACGTTATATTTGTTCATAATATGGCCACAAAGATGGATGAACAGAATTTTGGGAGTGCATTGTTGGACCCCAGCTCTATTGTTGGAGTCCATCTGTCGTTCTACAGCTGGGGGGTGTGCCATTGAAACAATACCTACACTTTCTCTGAAAACATGGTATCTGTATCATGTGGAAATGATTTAATTTCAATGTTTGTTTGTATTTGAATGCAGGATTCATTAAGCAGCATTTATCAAATAACATTTACTATATGTCGATGGTTTGTTTTGCTCTTTCGCTAACGTTAGTCATGTCAAGGTGTCAAGGAAAACACAAGGGGAACACATTTATCATTGTGCAATTGGCTACAAATAAAAAAATGTTGTAGAAGAAATGTAAATGACAAATACTGCAAACATCACATATGAATCGGTGAAAAAAAGCGAAACATGGCTATTGAAGATTATGATTAAGAAATAGGCTATAGTATGAGCATGTGTGATACATACAAATTTGCATACAATGCATTTATAGACTACAAATAAAACATTTAGCGAATATAACGTTACAGATTTTCTTACATAGCTAAAATCGAGGCTTAAGTAAAACATACTACCTACTTCTTTATAGAGCAACCGATTTTCCGCCGTCTAATTTGTTAAAAATAAATCGTTGGACTTTTTCGCTAGTTTCCGAGGTAGACGTGCAGAATATATGATCTTTTGTTTATTTTTGCAAATGATAGCACCGCAGTATCCCAACGAACAGCTGATAATAAAAACAAAAAGCCCAGCGAAGTAGCTCCGCCTACTGCTGTAGGCTAGTCCAATAAGATTCGTACACAAAACGAGAGGTGGAGCCAGAAATGTAACCGTTTATTATACGTTTGTCATCTATTAGCTGACCTGGGAACAGTTTTTTTTTACATGAAACTATAAAACTCACATAGACATATATACATGTGTCTATGTAAAACTCACGGGTCAACCGTAAGTAAAACTGATTCCAGTTCAGTTGTGGAGGAAATGTGTTGGACATGTCGAGGGGCGTGCCAATCAACAAAATTTGAAAACTGCAGAATGTGCCGCAGCAACGGATGACTCTGAAATCTGGGAAGTACGCAGACCAGAGCAATGTTCCTTCATGTTGTTCCAAACCATCATGTCTTGCTTTCTTCAGTGGAACACTAATATAAATGTAATATTAGCAGAAAGTCGCTGACTCGCACTTTATGGAATAAGACGCAATAAGAGTTAGTGACATTTTCAATGGTGTAACATCTTACCGCATTATACAGCAAATGCGCCTTTAGTAAACTGTAAATGGTACTAAGTTACTTTCCACTAATAATAACCACTAGTAATATTCTTACAGTTTTATCAGGGTTATGGCTTCTTATTAACATATCACTAACAAATACATATAACTGGTTAACGTTACGTCTTTTCTATAAATAGTAGAAATGAATTAATTAAACTTAATTAAATGTAATTAAAAAGAACGTGGCAATATATGCATAATATGATTGCTAGTAAGTGAATGGGGGAAAATGTTCTTTAAATAAAGTTAAATAAGTCACATTAGATATTGTTAATTATAATTGATAAGCCTATATTTGGGCCTTTTAAACACATAATAAAAGATTTTTGCGTTTTTAGTGCACTTCATCAAACTTTTTGGAATGTGGACGCAAACTTGTTTCATATCATGGGCGCGAGAAAACCGTTAAACTACGCAAAATAATTATATTTTATTACCACAAGGTGGAGCCATAATCAAAATTGTACCACTTTCTCACATCAAAATCATCCCAGGCTCGTCCTGACATCTGTTGAAAGGTGCATTGTGCACTTGTCAGCTTATCAAAAATAGTAAATAAAACATCTCCACAACATATATTTCACTGTATGATAATCTTGACGATAAAATAAAAAGTGATGACAGCTAGTGAACATTTCTTAAACGCTGCATCTGCACAAACCATACAAACCCGGTCTGGCATAGAGCGTGCTTTGATAGAAAGTAGACTACAGATTTATGTTGCACATGCTAATTATATTATCCTTCATTGTGCATACTTTGGAGATGGCAAACATTTCCTTCACAAAAGCTTTTATTTAAATGAACAATGATCTGGCTTTATGCACATTGACTTGGAGCCGCGAAGTAAACAATGAATTTAGATTGGCTAATTTGCATGATCTTGATAGGCACGAATTAAACAATTCACTTGTGTGCATTACCTGCGAAGTGCGCTTGGGAACATTCACACCTAGGCAGCAGTCAAGTGCTGGGTAATTAAATGAAACACTGACGACAGCGATGGCTGTAGGCTGTTCTTTTGGGCGGGTCCAAATGGACGTATACCCACTCAGTCTGTCAGACTGTTTTAAATAAGTACAGACTAACTAATTGTAGCCCATTTCAGATCAGTGTTTAGTGTTAACGTTACAAGAACTGCGGATTGGCGAAGACGGTACATTTTAAGGACTATCTGAAGCGGGGCGTTTCAGATAATTTTTTGCCTTGAAAAATATTTGGACTGGATTGTTAAAACTGAAGAGTTCAGAATGCCTCGGTCTTTCCTGGTAAAAAAGTATTTCACCAGCAAGAGGCCAAACTACAGCGAGCTGGAATGTCAGAACGGTGAGTTTGGCTCCCTTTTAAAAAATCGAATCGATCTAAACGTAAAATTATTTTTAAAAGTGTTCAACTGGCCTCTAAATTTGTTATTCTGATAAAAGTACCCAGGGGATTGCATTTGTGTCATCGGTACATCGGACATATTACTATAACGCTAAATATAAATTGTTTTAATAACAAAATATGAGCTTTCTATCATTTCCCTTGCGGAATTTCAATCTATAGGCTACACAGCGCCCTTTCTTCACTGTATCTGGTTGCATGTGATGCACATGTGTTTTTTGAGTTTCTACTTCTGTTGCAACTGAGTGTCCTGTGCTTTTCCCTGGCAATCCAAAGTCCAAAAATTCTATAGCAACTAATATGGTTGTAAATATCATTAGGAACTTATTTTCGCTTCCTCTCATCCATCAGATACTCTGCCAGACAGATACCCACTTGCAGAACTTCCAGCAGTCAGCAATGACTTCCCAGTGACTTGCTTGACCACTGGACTGGTTTGGGATGTCAGCTTGCTACCTTCCCTGCACAATCCCACATCCCCATCCACTAGCCAGGGCCCGCTGGACCTCAGCTCCCCGTCCAGCAGCGTCAGCTGCAGCAGCAGCGGAGAAGAGGATGAAGGACGCACATCAGACCCACCGAGCCCAGATTCCTCAGACACCTACCACCCCCAACAGACCAGCAGGCCGAGACGCAACAACAAGAACAGGGCCGGACAGAGAGAGGACAAGAGCGAGGCCACCGTCCCAGTCACTCGACCGGCCTTCTTCTGCAAGCACTGCCCCAAAGAATACAACAGTCTCGGTGCCCTAAAGATGCACATCCGCTCACACACCCTACCATGTGTCTGTCCCACCTGTGGAAAGGCTTTCTCCCGACCCTGGCTGTTAAGAGGACACATTCGCACGCATACAGGTAAATCAATTGTTTTTCTTCAACAAACTTAATTACAAAATGTCTTACTAGCACTTAATGTGGTTCATGCTAATTTTGCATTGTGTTTTTAATTTAAAGATGAAAATATCACTCATTTTCTAAAATCTCTTTTCGCAATCATTTTCATTAATGCAACACCGTTAGTTTAGTGATTCACTCAGTCAAGTGAGTTTGTCCTCAATAGAATTGCTTTTCATTGATCACTCATTGTGTTGACATCTTTTTAACAATGACACAATAGGACAATCTTATCAATCACTTGTGTGAGAGCAGAGATAAGCAAAGATAAGTTAATCAAGAATGCTAAGGAGCACTTGTTATCATCCTTGCTGAGTAGCCACTTATTTTGTGTACTTGTGGTTGATTCAATCAGGTTACCATGTGACTGTTAACTCCTTAGACAACATGTTTTTTGTTTTTAGCTTTAAATTGCTTTTTTCCCTCTCAGGTGAGCGTCCATTCTCCTGCCCACACTGTAACCGTGCCTTCGCAGACCGTTCTAACCTGCGTGCGCACCTGCAGACCCACGCGGATGTGAAGAAATACCAGTGCAACACCTGTTCTCGCACCTTCAGCCGCATGTCCTTGCTGCAGAAACACAGCGCCGCCGGCTGCTGTCCCTCCACGGCCTGAGGACACCGGGAGACATTTTATTCTACTTCAGGACTCGGTGCCCTGTGAGATAATAATGACCGTGCCCTTCTTCTCTCAACACCCGCGCATATATGCAATATGCAAAATGCAACAGGAGAAGGATGATGCGGCATTTAAGCAGACTTCTTAAACATAACATGGTCGATACATTTCCAAAATGCCACGTCAGACTTTTTTTTTCTTAACCACAATACTTCAAATGAAGGAATTATGAATGTTTAAAGTATAATGGCTGTTCAGCTAGGATTCCTGAAGCAGGGACAGCTGCTGTCAGGTTGGGGGTGGGCTCACTATGGTAGGGTATGTCTCTCAGCATGACACACACACACGCAAACATATGCATACAGACAGACAGCTGTTCTGTGGTGCGGAGGCAGTGTGCTAACAGGTGCCCTGGCCCTGACCGTCACATCTCTCTGATAACAGGTGGCGTCTGCCAATTTCTCTAGAAACACACTTTGAGAGTCGTAATGGACTACAGTTGACTGGTGTTGTTGTTTTTAGTGGGTTGTAACCTGCATGCGCATGGTTCTTCACTTTTTTTCTTTTTGATGTTTGTTCTTTTCACCACAGATATTTTTTTATTTTCATTTTTTACTCTGTGTCCTTTATCACTCCTTTTGTTGTACAGGGCCTGAGTTTTAAAATGCACTCCAGTTTACCAAAGAGTATTGAAGTCCTGTCATTGTGTACTATTAAAAAAAATGATTGGACATTTAAACCAAAGCCATGCTACTTTTTGTAATTTAACATTTTTTCTATTTTGTACCTCAGATGTTTTTTTCAAGCGATGACTTGCAACACTTTATATTTTTATCTGATGTGACGAAAAGGATAGTCTTAGTAAATCGCCATCAATATTTTTCATATTCTGTTCACAATGCATGTGGACATTTCAACCCTAATATGTCACATTTTACTGCCAATTTCATGCATGATTTTCTTTTGAATGATATTGAATGAGTTCAGTGCAATTTTTTTAGCATACTTTTTTATATATATTATATACATTTCATGTCTCTTTGTATTTGTCCAAATCATTTCCACCCAATAAAATAATTTAAGTTTATACAAAGACTTTGATTCATACTCACTTGTTTTGGATTCGCCACAGTTACAAAGTGTCAAAAAAAAAAAGACTCATACTGGTAATCTGATTGCTCATGCTATTTGAAGCTGTTGAAATGCATTATCAGGAAGAGCGGCGTTTCATTTCTAATGAATAGAAGTGACTCACTGGTTTGTAACTGTGATGTTTGCTGGGTGGCAGGTGAACGCACTATGACAGCAGAGGGACAACTGCATGCACCTGCCCCACACACCTGTCCTGCTGCACGCACACACTCACTCGCTCTCCGCAAACAAAGCGGTTTACCCAGAACGGACTCTTGGCCTGCTTATGCACACGCATGTGTGTGTTGATCTTTTTGTGTATGCACGGTCAGTGCAGCAGATCCGTTTTATATACAAGACATAAAGATGTCGTTGTGGCCTGATGGCGTTTAAGCTGAGCGCTCTGTGTTCGTTCAAACTGTAAATTTGCCTCAGGAGGTATTGCTGT